GCGCGCGCGCACGCACACACACTTAAATTTTATATATGTTTGCAGAAAAGATTATATTTATTGCTTTAACTAATAAATAATTTTCATAGGTAAATTGGGACAAAGAACTTGATGAAGAGGCTGAAAGACAACGCAGACGAAAAAAGGAAAATTCAGAAGCTACGACTACTGTACTGCCCCCTGTAAAAAAACCGGAAGTAGTGCCTCAATTGCCAAAACCTCGAAGTTCCGTCAGTCCTAAACTGGGCAGAACAAAAGATTCTGCAATCCTTGATCTCTTAGGTCTTGGTATGTTATGTGTACAAGATGTCCCAGACACTGAAATTCACGATGCAGTTCTTTGTCAAGAAGCAACTTCTTCTTGTAGCAAAAATATTTACAATTGTGAGATAGGAAGAAGTTGCTCTACAAAGAACCGAATTGTGCATTCCTTGTGTATGAATTATGATATACTCTGAATAATTTATAGAATTATAAGCTTTCTAACACATAATACATTTCATGTCGTTATTAACAGATGCGCCAACAACTAACCAAACAAATGTAAATGGTTCTGGGGACGATGTATTTTCTTCCTTTTTGTCTGCACCACCTGCTTCAATAACTTCAACTGGAAATGATTCTAATGGAAGTAAAACAACCACTACTGCAAGTAAAAGCGAAGAGGAGAGCTTCTTTAATCAACCGACTCCGCTACCTCAGGAAAAAAGCAAGATGACAAAAGACAGTATTTTAGCATTATATGGTACTCCGAGTCATCAACCAGCTATTTATGGTGTCTCAGGTATTGTATTATAAGACCAAAATGATATATGCAATATTAATGAAATTTTATAATTAAATTACGTTTTTTAACATACGATATATCTCAGGGGGAGTGTATCCTCAACACTCTATACCATATAAACAGCAAATGCCTAATGTGGGTGTATTTGGGCAACAAAGCTCATTGGGTCCACTCAGCCAACTTCCCACGCAAATACCGGTCGCAAATCAGATACCTGTCAATCAAAATCAAATTATGGCAAATCCTAATACGATAGGTGCTGTAGCAGCCAATCCTTTAGGTTTACATATAGGTCCAATGAATCAATTAAATGGTGTACCTAATGCTGCTATCTCAATGCCACCTCAAATGGTATGTAATATTTCTTACATGATATTGCTAAATATGTTCGTAATTATTCTTTTTATACTTCGAGTTTTTTTTCTCCGATTTCATAGATGATGCAGTTAGGACAAAGTAATATTGCTAGTAATAATGGATGGAGTGGAATGTTGACACAGAATATTCAACCAGCTCCTGGTAGCAATCCCTTCTTTAATTTAACAGCACAGCAACAACAAACTACTGCATTTACCGCTCAGGTATGTAAATTTTAAGTGTTTTATGTAATTTATAATCATATATAATTTCTACAAGATAATATGAAATATATAAAGTAAAAAGTTTTTGTCAAAACTTTGTAATGTTATTTACATTAGGTCAAATTAGTTTTATTTTTATGAATTCATGATATTACAGTTGCCACAACAAATGTCGCAGATGTCTCTGGGCGATATGAATTTTGCCTCTACAGGCAAGCCTGCCGCTGCCGCGCTACCTGGGCAGACCCTTTCCACAAACTTATGGCAGTAAAATTATTATTGCGGATATTGTTAGCCTGATTATCTCATTCAGTGTTGCATACTAATGTCGACAGTTTATTATCCAATGTAATAACAGATTTCCATGTCCATCAATTGGACATTGCTTTGGAAAGTAATAGAACTGACGACGGAGACACTAAAATGAAAAAAGAAAAATTATACTCGATTGTTGTCTCAACACATAATTCGTCAATGTTTATAGAGCTTCAAGTAGATAAATATTTTTGTTTGAAAGCCTCCACCAGCTTTCAACATTACTGTTGAGAAAAAAAGAAACTGGAATAAAAAAATAAGAAAAGTTTTTGAATGAATGTAAAAAGTTATTTGTGTAACACTAAATATGTACCTCATGGTAAAAATTATGTTGCTACAATGAAAGCTTTTTGTAATTGCAATTGAAATATATATGTCAGGGTCCATTTTCAATATAACAAAGCATTCATTCGAATCAGTGGAAAACGGTATAATTTTTATTGCTATGTGTTTTTGTCAGTTCATTTGATAAAATGAAAATACTTCAGTTGACATGAAGCACATTTTCTCATATGGAACGATATCGAAAATGGAACTTAAGCCATACCGATTTCAAACACTGATTCAAAGATGTACATTGCATATGTACGAATTTTGTTAGAGACGTGAAAAGACTTGGATTTTCAATTTATTTTTAAGGTATTATATTTGACACGTGCAATATGTGTCCACATTTATTCTGTATTAGTAAATAAATACAAAATAATATGAATGCGAAATATAACGCATTTTTTACATTTGCGTAAGATATAGAATATATTACTGTTGCGACAATGAGATTTAAATAGTTCAGCAATTTATTTATTATGAATATCTATAAAATATGAGAAAAATTCATAAGTCATATATTGGTGCTAAGAATTTTGATTGGAGCATTTTGATTGGATTACATTTTAATTAAGTTAAATTGAATAATAATGCATAAAAATTATGTATAAAATGTTCTTTTCAAAAGAAAATTTTTAGGAGATCTTTGCAATCGCAAATAATTTGATAATATATAATTTATGTAATAAATTATTGATTATGTTCTTCTGTATACTATCATGAAACATTTTACGAGCAACATTTTTTATTAATACATTGTTCAGTATGATTTAATACGTGGGAGGCACTACTATACTTAGATGTATAATCACAACCTGTCTTTCAAAGTACTGATAATGATGATTATACAGACTGTTTAAGCATTGTGCGCTTTTTCTTACAGGTTCTATAACTAGGATTATAGTAATTCGTAATGAATTATAAGTTCAGGAATAAAGTAATAGTCTTATTCTTCTAATTTTACGTTATTTTTAATGTGAGATTTGATTGTCAATACAGAAAAGCCCAAATTTTATTTCTAAGGAACCTGTAGTCGAGAAAAAAGCGACATACTATATATGGATATAGCGAAACGCAGTATTTTTGGCAAATATTTGCGTTAATATAAATAAATAAATAAATCACTTTAAGTGATACCTGATAATCAGTGAAAGCTATATCAAGAGGGACTTAAGGAAGCTCATCTTAATTGTTGCCTACAGTATCAAGCTGTTATTTATATGAATTACTATTATATTAAGTAATTATGAAATAGTGTATTTGTGTCAAAATATAACGACATTTTATTGTAATTTGATTACTCTATTATTTACTCGTGAAACTGTTAAGCGAGATGAATAAAACTTGTGACATAACAGACGCATTTAAAATGACATTAAATTCAATAAGTTACTGGTATTCTCAATAATTTTAAATTTCTTAAGCTAACACGATTTATCACGATACAAAAAAAATTGGTAAATCAAGAAGAATTAATTAACATCTTTTTAAGAAAACAGGTAAATCATTTTGTGCCATTTTAAACATATTTATTATATATACAAAATAGATCATTTCTATGTGCCTATTCGTTGCATTCAGCACTATTTGATTTATATGTTTTTCACCTCCTTTGTGAGAATAGTTCTAATAAAAATAAAATGCGTTATCTATATATTCTAGATATTTTTTTAGATCTATATTTTTAGATATTTAACTATATGATGAAATTTAACACATACGAAAGATATAACAGCATTAATTTCATCAAGCAGTCAATTCTAACAGTTAACAACAATTTTTAAATTTTAATAAAAATGTTAAGATATAAATGTATATATAAGTATATTTAAAATTTAATTCAATAAATTTCGCAATACTAATAATTTAATATTGACAAGACTTTACGTCCTATTTTAACAATGAAAAACTCAACGAGATGTTAACAATTCTAATAAAAAAAAAATTAATTAAAAATTGCGAACAAATTACTGTAATTTTAATTGTTATTATTATTCACAAACAAGAGACCATTATTTTTTTCCGCTCGAATAAATAATGTGACAACAATCAATAAATTCAATAAATTTCTTGCAATAATATACAACAAATATTTTCTAATATTTCATTAATATTTAATCTTTTTGTTTCATTCGACACATTCATTTTTACGAATGAAAATGAGCTTATACGTGATTTCGTTTTCGTTCAAAAATTACGTATTGGAACAGCAGCGACTCACCGGAAATCCGGAAATCGGACGGAGAAAAGCGGTTCGTCTACGCGTGCTTCTTCCATTTGCGTCAGATATCTCTTTCGAGTCAGAGTCCACGTGAAAAAGAGGTAATCATGGACAAACCAGTCGTTTTGGCGCGTGTAATCAAGGTTCTGGGTCGCACTGGCTCGCAGGGGCAATGCACCCAGGTGAAAGTAGAATTCCTGGGCGAGCAAAATCGGCAGATCATCAGGAACGTGAAGGGACCGGTACGAGAGGGCGACCTCCTAACCTTACTCGAGTCCGAGCGCGAGGCGAGAAGACTTCGATAACGTGAGGTTTTTATTAACGCCGGAAAAAACGGTCGCCAGCTACTACTATTACTACTACCGGACTTCAGCAGATACACATTTCCTGAACGTGGATCGCTCCTGCACATGGATTATGGATCAAGGATCGTAGATCGTGAATCGTCGACAACAGACACTCCTGCCACGTGCTTCTCGAGATTGAGAGGATGCTGCCGATCGCGGAACAGGATCGCATTTTCTTGAAAACATTCCTGACACATAAGAATTCCACACCTTTTACAATAAATCTTAGCTGGTAACCACAAGTTTCAGTGTTGTCATTATGCTCCTCCCTCCAGCTTGTAAGCTGTAGCGATGAATTACAAACTGAGCGCTTCCTATTTGCAATCTAAAGATTATTAATATATTTGCATTTTTGCTATTTATTTTTGTATCTTTGGTTTGCTTTTTCTTAGTGTTAGAATAGGATTATATATTTTTTTTAACTGTGAAATTCAGATAGTTTGGAATATGAAAATTCCACATTTTTAATAGATACATGTATGTATGTATGCCAAAAGTAAAAAACAGAAATCTAATCAGTATAAAGTATTTGGCCCTTAAAAAGTATAGTAAAACTATTTAAAAAGATATAATGATATATTTATTTATAGCATTTTATTTACAGCACATAATATAATTTTTTTTAATAAAATCGACTTATTTTCTATATATACATTTATGTCATTAAAAATAGTATAGACTCATTATAATTGTCTATTTTTAGTACGAAATTTTTCAAGCATATCAATTGGCTATAAAAATAGACAAATATAATATTGACCTTGTATAGTCATAATATATAATTGAAGTTCTTAGACATAATGTCTATTCAATTTATAATAACTGTTATATTCTTCTTCGTTTTGGCGGAGGTGTATCGCGTGGACTGGAAGAAGCTTTGGAAGAACTATCCACGCTTTGTCTGGTTGGTCTCTTTGGAATCCTTTTCGCGAGCTCGCGACTAGATTCGGATTCTTTACGCTCCTTCTTTCCATTTGATGCTTAAAAGAAACAAAAATACAATTTGTGTGTGCAACTCTGTTGAAAAAAAAAAACTAAATAATAACCAAAACCAAATATTAAAATACCGCTCTCTTCTGAATCCTCCTTCCCTTTTGAACGACCTTTTGATGATTTATGTTCTTTCCTTGTCTCTTTCATATCCTTAAACTTATCCTTTTTTATATCCATCTCCTTCACAGATTTTTTAATTTCTTCTTTTTTCTTTTCCACATCTTTGGTTCCTTTAAAATCACGTAACATGCTATCTTTCTTAGAACTCTCTTTGATGTCTTTTTCTTTTTTAATTTCCTTGTATTTATCCCTCTGATCTTTCAATTTTATCTCTAATTCTTCCTTTTTTCGTGGCTTCCCCACAAATTCAGTCTCCGGTAAAAAAAAATCTATCTCATGATCAGGAAAAGGTAAACCTTCCATATCGTCCTATCAAAAAATTCAATATGGATATAAATAAATTTAATATGGATATAAAAAAAAAAAACGAACGCTTAAGAGGAGATTCCTAAGATTAAAACAAAAATTCTAATTTTTATCTCAAAATTATCTCAGGAATTATCTTTATCTTTATTCTTCTGGTCTTTACAGAACACTATGTATATATATATATGCACAAAATACATTGTATTAATATATTATATATGTTCAAAATAATTTTATAGAAACTTGTTTATCCTAACACGATGTTAGATACAATTTCATTTTAGAACACATTTTATTATATATGTTGTTATTTACCAAAGACACAAGGTCATACATGGATTCCAAGTGATCCCAAATTATTTTTAATGGAACATCTTTGTGAATAGCAGCACGAAATTTTTCCCATATACATACCATATGGAAATATTTATTGATACCTGACAATTGAATAATTAAAAATCACAGTTGCAAAACATAATCGTTAATTAATGATAAATTAATATCAAACTCTCATTAACTTAATTGATTGATCAACTTGTCAAATAATACCTGTAGTATTCTATTAACATAGAATTTTTGTTTAAAATATGTATATACTCATATATACAAATTATATTACGGACGCTACAATTTTGGCAGAAAGCCATGCATTATACACAGATTTTGTTTTAATTACTTAATTGCCAATTAAGCAGAGTTTGATTGAAATCACTCAATGTCTATTTCTACCAATATAGATTCATTTTAATCTCGATTTAACTTACTTTTTATCTTTTCCTAGATCTACGAATTGAAAAAAAAAACAGAGAATAAAATAAACCGAGATTAAAATTATGTTGGAAGAAATAAATATAGAAAACCAAGATAAACATAACCTCTCATCGCCGGCTTACCAACTGGCTTGTGTCCATTCATGGCGAAAAAAAGTTGAATTTCGTTTTCCACGTTCCATTCTATTTCGTCGAACGAGGTTTCGTTTTGTCTCTCTTTGACAGCCATTTTAATGAAAACCGATGTTTTGGCACTCGATCGGCTCAATCTCGACTATGTTAGACAGTGTGCCATGCGCTTAACAGACACTAAATCAATTGAATAAAACGCCCAATATAACACAGATGCGTTCTATATATTGTATCAACAACTTGTCTTTATTAATAAAATACATCACATGAAACAATTATAATTTGACACTTTGACAGCATTTTAAAGCACTAGCAAAACACTAGTTGTATCAAGACCATTGTACTATATTCGTTTCAGCAGAGAGAAATCTGAGAGAGGACATGACAGCCCAAAATCTGTAACCGCAAAATGCTACCGCGCACTACTACCCTCTAACAAAATGGATGTAAACTACATAGCAATGTCTACTTTTCTTACGGTACTTTTCAAGGCTGGAG